TTTTTTTTTTTTTTTTTTTTTTTTTTTTTGGTGGTGGTAGGATTGGAACCCAGGTTAGTGTGCATTCTAGACAAATGGTCTACACTGAGCTCTCCCTGCAGCCCCCAAATCGAGTATTTGACCATCATCCCTATGCCCCATAAAGTTATTCAGTTGCTCATGTGAAAAAATAGAGGCGTTGTCTTATGACACTCCACACTCAATCTGCCAGCCAATTCTATCAGCATCTCCACTGCTGTCAACCTGGCTCAAGTCATTGCTTCTCGCCTGGGTCATAGATTTTGCATTTTCCTTCTATGCAGTTGTCTTTTCAAATATAATTTACATCATATCATTGTGTTCACAACTGTCCAATTTCTTCCCATTTCACTAAAAATAAATAGTAAATCCATTACCACGGTTTGCTCTCTTTGTTTTAGTGAGGTTATTTTTCCAATATTTCCTAGTCCCTATCCTACTGGCCTTACTATTCTTAGGGTTAGTATTGCTGGTTTTCCCAGATTAGGGCTTAAGAGTGCTATTTCTTCTATCTGAAAGATTCTTTTCTAGTAATTTTTCCTAATTGAGGTCCTTAATGTTACTTTTGCAGAGAAGCATTCCCTGACCTTATCTAAAAGGTAACCCTATTACTCTTTCTTTATTTACTCTTATACAGTTTGTCTATATCTCATACACTTATTTTCTGTCTGCGACACCAGAGATGAAGGTAAGTACTCTGTCTGATTCACTATTGTATTATATTTTGGCTCCCCAAAACACTTATTGAATAACACATACATGGTATAGGTATATTCACTTGTTTTTGTCAACACTCTCTTTCCTCACTGAAGGTCTTCTATATAATGTAATGCCATATTTCTATGTCCTTACAGTCCACTCTCCATGCACGTAAAAAGTACACTAATGGAATCATCTTGAAGGGTTATAAACTTTGCTGTTGTACATTTAGTGTTCTGTTTTCACTGATTATTCAGAGGGCAGGGCACAAGCTGTTACATACTTCTGAGGTCGGTACATGATGTGAATGTTTTGGGGACAGTATGCGCTGTTTGCAAACAAGAACTTGGGAGCATCTGGGAGGAGAGAGGAGTGCTGAACAAAAGACACTGTTTTGCTAGTTCCCGAGCAATGATATCTTTGAAGACAGTGTGCTGCTCTTCAGCTACAGCTTCACTGGAATAGAATGCAAGGTATTTTTAACAATAATAATTTGATTTGTTTTAATAAATATTTCCTAATTGAGGACCTGTGGGGATTTTTAAAGGATCATAAAATGTTTTAATGGGCTGCTTTTATAAAGCTTGTTGGATGGGATTACAAAACAATAAAGTTCCAATCTGCTTTGATTAAGGACAAATTTTAAAATATGTAAACTGCTTCATGAATTAATATTGTAAACCCAAATAGTTACCTTAGCTCAAACTAACATCTCTAGCTTTTACGGTGTTCCAAGAAACTTGCTAGCTGGATGAACTCAGGATGTCCTATAGTAAATCACTGAAAAAAGATTATGGAATAGGATGACATGTTTTCCCAGGACTTATTGAACACATTCCTTAAATATCAATGTTAGTATGAAATCTTGTACAAATATAATCACATTATGGTTAACTGGCAATTAAAGTGATCTTTGTTAGAAGTATCTACCTGTGTTTCATTTGCATAGTTATTGTCATCATTCAGTATGTGCCTAAATTCCTTGTGCATTTTTTTTTTAATTTTTAAAATTTATTTATTTATTTATGTGTGTGTGTGTGTGTGTGTGTGTGTGTGGCCAGCTCAGCCCACCAGGGGGCGGGGCTGGCTGGCATGTGGTGCTGG